ATTGATAAACTTAAAGCCACTGTCTTTCCAGGTCTAAATGATGATGTTGACTTTTCAGTGTTTTTATAATGAGTATGTTTTTCCAAAGGACAAGGTATTCATTGAGGGGCCCCTCCAGTAAAATGTGTGTTGGTGTACATTCTTTTGTATGTGGCATCGGTCTATGTAGCATATACTGCAGTATCTTCATGTTTAAATATCCTCCCATCATTCAATGAGGTATTTTTTATTATTGTCATGTGACGAGTCCTGTGGACGTCATTGGTCTTTTCTAACGCTTCTATGTATCATCCAATAGTGGTTGCTCCTTTACCTCATGTGTCGAGTTCAGTGGACGTCATGAGTCTATTTTAACCTGTCAATTTAGTATGTTTTTTACACTGCCCTGAAGAAGGCCCTGCGTGGCCGAAACGCGTTGGTCCCTTCTCTAATAAAGGACTTTTATCAGAGTGCCTCGGATTTCACCCTGTCTTCTTTGGAAAAGGGTATCTTTGTTTTTCAATTAAATTCTTATTGTCTTTTTGCGGTCATTATTATACACCTATTACTTTCTCATTATTGAATACACTATTTTTTCCATGGATAGAATCTCTAGGCGCAGCCAGGGGCCGGAGGGGGTCCGGTTCGGGAACCACAGGATTTCATCTCTACTTTTTGCGGATGATGTCGTCCTGCTGGCTCCAACGAACCAGGACCTGCAACATGCACTGGGACGGTTTGCAGCCGAGTGTGAAGCGGCTGGGATGAGAATCAGCACCTCCAAATCCGAGGCCATGGTGCTCGACCGGAAAAAGGTGCCTTGCCCTCTTCAGGTGGGTGGAGAGGTCCTTCCTCAAGTGGAGGAGTTCAAGTATCTCGGGGTCTTGTTCACGAGTGAGGGGAGGATGGAGCGTGAGATTGACAGGCGGATCGGTGCAGCGTGCGCAGTGATGCGGTCTCTGTATCGGACCGTTGTGGTAAAGAGGGAGCTGAGCCGAAAAGCAAAGCTCTCAATTTACCGGTCAATCTTCGTTCCCTCCCTCACCTATGGTCATGAGCTGTGGGTAATGACCGAAAGAACGAGATCGCGGATACAAGCGGTCGAAATGAGCTTCCTCCGCAGAGTGGCTGGGCGCTCCCTTAGAGATAGGGTGAGGAGCTCGGTCACACGGGAGGAGCTCGGAGTAGAGCCGCTGCTTCTCCACGTCGAGAGGAACCAGTTGAGGTGGCTCGGGCATCTGTTCAGGATGCCTCCTGGACGCCTTCCTGGGGAGGTGTTCCGGGCACGTCCCACTGGGAGGAGGCCCCGGGGAAGACCCAGGACACGCTGGAGAGACTATGTCTCTCAGCTGGCCTGGGAACGCCTAGGGGTCCCCCCGGACGAGCTGGAGGAGGTGTGTGTGGATAGGGAAGTCTGGGCGTCTCTGCTTAGACTGCTGCCCCCGCGACCCGGCAACGGATATTTTTTCCCATTTGAATTAACACATACAGATGCATTTCTATATTGGACCAAATGGTGCAGAAGGTTCCTGGGAGCAATGCTGGTGCATGCATCATTAGGCTGACCACTGTGGCTGCTCTCGGTGACTGTGTAGAGTACAGGCATAAACAAGCTTTCAGCACCTCGCTAATGCGGCTGGACTTTTTATGGCTCATTTTGCACCCAACACCACTGGATAAAACCAGAGGACCCATAGAAATTAAAAGCGGAAACCAAGTCAACCTTGCACATGGGTCGTTTTAGTTTTCGGCGCTATTACTTGAAATATTCAGAGTGACATTACAAGAAATATGACTTAGATGTTTGTTCCTGTACACCTAAGGATGAATGAAGGGCCCTAGAGAGATCGAAATCAGCTGCTGAATTTCACACATCTCTCTTCACTTCAAAAAATATATAAAACATTTTTTAAAAATAGCTCAAATTTGGTAAAAATCTTAATTTGAGCACATTGACTGCCTTAAAGCAAGATTTGTCAATGGGACAAACAAAAAGATACAAGAGATGTCTCCCTTGGAATGAGAAAATAAAGCAACAGTTCTTGAAATAAAACTAAGCAACTTGTTCCACTCGTAAATCATGTTTTAAGAAAGTCAGAATGTTCCCAAATTAAGATAAAAACCACTCCATTCAAGAATTTTTTACCTCATATTTGATCATTTTTTGCAGTGTTGTTTAAAATGGGCTTCACTTTCACTTAAAGGTATATAGGAGGATTTTCTACATCCGGGTGGATCAAGACAAGAGTTTTGATCAAAAAGTGGAGAGGGCGGTCTTTTAAATTAGGGAAAATCCTCCTTTATGCCCTTTTAGTTTAATTTATTCTCATTGTAAATATCCAGCACAGTGGCTCAGGCTTCACAGTAAGATGGCCGAAGGTTCTGTCTGGAATTTGCATGTTCTCTCTGTGTCTGGGTGAGTTGTCTCTGGGCGCTCCGGTTTCCCTTACCACCCAAAACATGCACCGTAGCTGAACTAAAATCATCCAGCAATGGTGGTCCAAAGCAATCTGGAGATGTGTCCCCAGGCGCTGAACTGGAGGAACCACTGCCTCATGACAGGCTGCAGGACTAGTGGCATTGAAGGATGGCTCAAATGAGAACATAACGTATATTTTAACCTACATGCAATTAAAGTTTTTGTCTCTTGTGAATTGGAACCTTCTGTATTTTACAAAGGTATCAACCCTAAATCATGAGGTCAATGGACAAACTCTTAAAAGAAGCTGATCTCCAACGTTTAGATGGGATGACAGTCTACGTTTTTTTTTTTCCTACACCATTTGGAGCTGTAAACTTGTAAATAAAATTAAAAATATGTCACATGGTTAAACAGTGAAATATACCTCATGCTAATACCTATAGCTATTAGGGCTGCATTGATATATCAAAATAAATATTGTTATCGCGATATTGGTGCGTGTGATATCCAAATCAAAAAGATATCCGCAATAAAATAAAATAAATTTTTTTTTTTTTTTAACATTTTTTTTACTTTATTGAAGACAACAAAACACAGACACACAAACATTCAACAAGAACAAACAAACAAAAATGTAAACAAAATATATGCATTTGAAGGTCATTCATCGTTATCGCAATACTAAATACTCGAATATCGAATATCGTACTAATTTCCAATATCGTGCAGCCCTAATAGCTATGGCAAAAATGTGACAATGTATGAAAGTAACTAGTCCATTCAAATCTTTTTAATTAAAATACAGTTGAAATAAATGTTGGCTGGGCAAAAAACTGCAACCTCTATCCACAGTCTGTGCTTCACTTTGAATTGAAATGAAGAGGACGTTTTCTCTGACAAAGCTGAACGACACAGTGTTACTCACAGTTACTGTTTCGATGCCCTCGGAGCTGATTAATGAGACCAAACTCTGAGGGCCTCACACTTCAAACCACTCTTCAAAGCAGCAACTTCTGTTTTGAGTTCAGAAATCAACTGCTAACAACATGTGCCAGGGTTTTCAGAATAGCCAAACTCTCCCCTGATAGAAGTCATTGTTTGGTTATCTACAGAAATCCCATTGGAGCTGGAAGAACTTTTATCAGTGGTTTCAAATGACCAAATACAGACATTCATTATGATTGTATTCTAACATACTGTATCTTCTATACTGTGCTATTCTCTTGTGGGGTTGTGATGCTAAAGAGGCACCTGCCCATTAGCTTCTGATCCGCAGCTGAAGATTACGTCTGTATCACATTAAGCCTGTTTTTGTTTAACAAGGAGCGCATTGTGCAGGGTACAGCTAAGCCCCGTGTGGGATATGCATCACTTCCTTGTTCGTACGTCACTAAAGTATAGCACCCTCCAAAAACACACAACCTATAACTATCCTGGCAAATGTATGTGATTTACTGTATTTATTTTTTAAATGAAAGGAAGCATGTTGTTAGTTTATGAGGTTGAAAGTAATGGTTGTTGTTGTTGTTTTTTGAGACATTGTCCACTTTTGGAATAATATCTGTTGCTCACTACCATATTTGGACACAGGGTAAAGGTTTAACTTATGTATTGTGACAGGTTGCGTAAACAATTGTAACTTTTTATTATATATTTTATTCAAAACTTGTTGCTGTTGCCGTTCGACTATTACTACGTTTGTTATGTGTCCTTTTTTGTGTTCTTTGCAAAACATTACAAAAAAACTATAATCTTCAGTCACTCCTTTTTTAGCATTCGAAAGTTTTCATGGTGCTGGTTCCACTGGGTTTTCATTGGACCAACTGAGGTGACTGTTATCTTTATTTGTGGGGAAGTATCTGAGGAGTTCATTTGCCAAAACAGGTATCAGTTTGTGTCAAAATTTCTCAAACTACAATCTTCAACATGTTTCAGGATTGGATCAAAAAGAAGAGAAACTGTATTAATATCACACTTAAACAGATCTGGATTTCCAAAAAAATACTTGATTAAAGGGCAAATTGCAATCTAATGGCAATTATCTGTTTTTACAAATGAACTGATAATTTATCATGACAATCTTACCATTCAAACAGGTTGTAATGTTCACTTGTAGAGTGGAGTTTTGTGTTGTTGAGCTCAACACTAGAACTTAGAGCAGTCAATTTGACTGTGACTTTATCTGTATCAATTTGTAGTTTATAGCTATGTAATCATGTTTATGAAATTATCTCAATCCTAAACTGGTCATGGACTGGTTCAGAGCCATCTCAGCTTGGAACAAATTCCAGTTACCATAGCAACACACTGTTTACTTGAATCATCTACAATTTAGTTTAGTTTAGTATCTCAGATATATTAACCAGTGTTAGCATGTATTGAAGATAAGAACCGTTTTCATGTTATGAATGTGCTCAAAAAATAAAGATCATATTGATCGATTGATGAATTACTTAACTTTGAGCAGTGAAAAAATCAAGCAGTGAAAATTCAAAAACCTTTTTGGGGATGATATATTCAGAATAGATGAATAAATAGGAGCAGTCAAAATGAATGCTCTGAGGAGTTTTGTTCGCTTCCAGGAGTTGATATGACACTTTTACGCACGCCTGCGCCTGGAGCTTACCTTGATGAGTTTGCAGCGGATCTGCGCGGACACCATGTGGCTGTTCCTCAGGTTCCCCACACGGAACATCAGACACAGTTTCCCGTCTCTCTGTGAAATCACCGCGTCCTGGCTGAACATGAGCGTCTCTGCGCGCTTCTTTGGTTGTGACATCTTAATGAACATGCAGCCGATAAGAAACGCGTCCACTATTGATCCCAGTAAGGATTGGAACAAGAATAGAATGATCCCTTCTGGGCATTTCTCTGTGATGTAGCGGTGTCCATAACCTATAGTGGCTTCAGTCTCAATAAAGAAAAGAAAAGCGGATGGAAAGTTGTAAACATTGGCCACGCATGGAGTGTATGAAGGGTCGCGTCCGTGGATCAAGTCTCCTCGAATATAGGCGATGATCCACCACATCGAAGCCATCACCAGCCAGGCTATTGTGTACGTGAGGATGAATATAAGCAGGTTCCATCGCCACTTCAAGTCAACTAAAGTGGTGAACAGGTCCGAGAGATACCTACTCGTCTCCCCGCCTAAGTTCCCGTGCTGGACATTGCATCTCCCGTTCTTCTCCACAAAGCGCTGGCGTTTCTTCTTCACCTGAGTGGCGAAGGAAGGCGCCTGGTTTGTAGTGTTGACCACCTGGTAGTCCTCGCCAAATTTCCTCCGAAGTGCCGCCATGTCACCCGTCTCCCGGTGAGAAAACGACCCCCGACTTTTACCCGCTTTTATTCCATGTTTTACGCTTGTTACCTGCAGTGCGTAAAAGGCACCATGGCCACTGTTGCGCGCGCCAATTTCTCTCCCACCCTCAACACAAAAACCCCCCAAAAACAATAGACCTCCTTATACTACTATTGCCACCAGCTCTGCAAATTTGTGTTCTGCAAAAAAAAACAAAAAAAGTATCCAGTCGTATACTTTGGGACCTTAGCCTGGACGTGGCATCTTGGTGAAGGCTTGGGTAGCTGTGCGCGCTCTGTGGCACTTGCTTGACTGACTGGTTAAACGTGGGGATCTGTCTGACCATTCACAGCTTCTAGTGCACTGTAAAAAAAAATAAAAATAAAGTGTGTGTGGATGCGTGTGTGTGTGCGTGCTCTTGGGATGTGGGAGGAGATGGGGGCTGGGAGAGAGGAGGGTCGAGCTACACTAGACTAGATGTGAAAGAAGGTTCGCGGAGAGATGGAGAGACAGGAATTTCCCCCCAATTTATGATTCTTCAGCGACCCGTTAAATCACAGTGGTTTGTCTAATGAATCAACGAGCAGATCATCAAATGCGTTCGCTCATGTCTAATAAGTGCGCTGGTTTGTCTTACTGCTGACCTTTTCTTTGATTAGCACAATCAAGGGAGAGAGCTGGGGATGGGGTTTGCGCTGGCTTTCGTGTCTGAGAGCGTCATCTACTGGTGACAGAGGCTCATTGACGCACAGATACGTAAGCTCGAGTTGGACCTCATCCTCCGTGCGCTATAACTAGGATAGGATATTTTGCTTTTACATATACCTATATATTACATGTGGTTTCCCCAACAGAAAGTTTATTTAAAAAAAGTATTTAACGTGAATAAATCATGCCACAACATGCTTTTTTTCTACTCAATATGAAATATCTTTTGCATATACTATGCCAAATATGATTAGACAAAATAGGATAGACTTTATTGATCTCACAATGGAGAGATTTACATGTCACATTTGGAATTTCAGAACTAGAACCTATTCCATGATTTTTATTATATTTTGTTGCTGTTTGAATATGAGGTATCTCAGTCACTCCATTAGCTTTAAGCAGCATTGTGGATTTTGAGGAATTATTGGTAATTTGGTTTTAATAACAAGCTTTAAGAGACTGAATTGTTAATCTGTTTTAAGAATAGAATTAATTGAGGTTTACAAACATACATCAAAGTGTATTGTAAGAGGAATAAGTCTATTACCATTGTAGAATTCTGCACTGACACTTCTGTTCACTTCTCATGAGTTCGGCTTTCTCTGCTCACTGAACACTTAACAAACAGAAACAGTAGTATGTATGGGATATGAACACTGCATTATGGCTTCATGGGCTGTGCTGGAAATGAGACTTTATAACTAAAATTAAGGCTGGGGTACCTAACTTTCAAACCACATAACAGTTTGGTTCAATCGTCTTCACATGCATGCATTTTTGGCCGGTTACATCTGTAGGTTTTTTCAGCAAAGTGAAAAAGAGAGGACCATAGGGACTCACAGGGATCTTTCTTATGCAAAAGATTACAAGTTTTCTAAATAGATTAAAGTTTTGTTGTTTTTTATTTGATATCTTCACAGCAGCTCATACTTCCGCAAGTCTCCATCTGTTGGCACAAATAACACATATTATTTATGCAAAAAAGACAGGTACCCCAGCTTTAAAGGCCTTGCAAACATCTAGGTTAGTCAGTATAAGTCCCAACTTCAGCCTAAGCCCCTTTCGGTCAGGCATTATTTAGCACTAACTTTCTTAATAGACACATTTTAGTTTTTAGTTATTTCTTGTTTTAAGATCTAATGTACATACTGGCAGAAGAAAATACGATACTACTACTACTACAAAATCAAAACAACAAATTATTAAAAGAGAGACATATCATATACGATGGTTGTGTCTCTTGGTTTTAATTTGCAAATAATTTACACATGAAAACAAAACAAAAACACGTCCATGAGTGGAACCAGGAGGTGGCACAGTTCCCCCTTGTGACTAAACCTGGCCATTCCTTTCAGCCCTCTCCTCCAGTCTCTCCTCTCCATCCTTCATATTGATCCAACATCGTGGGTCTTCCAGCGGAGGATTTCCTGGACTACCACTCTCCCGGTGGACAGCTGAGTAAAGTGCCCTCTTCATTTTCTAGCATTAACAAAGGCATATACTGTATTTACGCTCAAACTGGATGGATCTGAGAGAGCAGCCGTCTGGCCCACAGGCAGAAGGAAAAAACGTTGTGCTTTTTAGATCAGTCTGCAAAAGGTTCATTGCATCATTTATTGATCTAGAGAAGCTTAAAATAATGTGAAAGATGATCCAAGGGCATAAAGTCAATAATGGATGTGATGAAGTCATGTCTGATCCGGCTGGGGTTTGCCAACGCTGAGACAGTTCCAGTCACTCTGAGGATGTGAAGGAAAACATGTGTGTAATTTGCATTTATTTATGGATGGGTATTTATGGTATTTACATAAAATGGGGCGGCACTAATTTTTATCAAAATCAAGTTAGAATGTTTGCTTGCTGTTTAGAAGTGTAGAAAGTTGGGCAGTAGACTGTGTGTGACCAAATCATCTCAGGCGTTTCTGTTTTTATCTGGCAACAAACTCATTTAAAGGAGTTCAGCACGGAGCGAGTGTGTGGTCAGAGAGTGTCTGGGCCTGGGTCTTGTTGTGTGTTGTGTGTGTGTTGTGCTTGTGTCGAGTGTGTGTGGGATGTGCTTTTGTCGAGTGTGTGTGTGTTGAGTGTGTGTGGGATGTGCTTGTGTTGAGTGTGCGTGTGTTTGTGTGTGTGTGTTGTGCTTGTGCCGAGTGCGTGTGTGTGTTGTGCTGGGGTTGAGTGTGCGTGTATGTGTGCCGAGTGTGTGAGAGTGTCTGTTGTGCTAGTGTCAAGTGTGTGTGTGTTGTTCTTTTGTCGAGTGTGTGTGATTTGCTTGTTTCGAGTGTGTGTGTTGTGGTTGTGTCGAGTGTGTGTGTTGTGGTTGTGTCGAGTGTGTGTGTTGTGGTTTTGTCGAGTTTGTGTGTGTTGTGCTTGTGCTGATTGTGTGTGTATCGGTTTCGAGTGTGTGTCTGTTGTGCTTGTGTTGAGTGTGTGTTGTTCTTTTGTCAAGTGTGTGTGTGTTGTGCTTGTGTAAAGTGTGTGGGTGTGTGCGTGTTGCTCTTGTGTCAGGTGTGTGTGTGTGTTGTGCTTGTGTTTGTGTGTCGAGTGTGTGTGTGTTGTGCTTGTGTCAGGTGTGTGTGTTGTGCTTGTGTCAGGTGTGTGGGCATAACGCCTGTGTCGAGTGTGTGTGTTGTGATTGTGTTGAGTGTGTGTGTTGTGGTTTTGTCGAGTGTGTTGTGCTTGTGTTGAGTGTGTGTGTGTGTGTGTGTTGCTCTTGTGTCAGGTGTGTGTGTGTTGTGCTTGTGTCAGGTATGTGTGTGTTGTGGTTTTGTCGAGTGTGTTGTGCTTGTGTTGAGTGTGTGTGTTGCTCTTGTGTCAGGTGTGTGTGTTGCTCTTGTGTCAGGTGTGTGTGTTGCTCTTGTGTCAGGTGTGTGTGTTGTGCTTGTGTCAGGTGTGTGTGTGTTGTGGTTCTGTCGAGTGTGATGTGCTTGTGTTGAGTGTGTGTGTTGCTCTTGTGTCAGGTGTGTGTGTTGTGCTTGTGTCAGGTGTGCGTGTGTGTGTGTGTGTGTTGGGTTGTGTTGAATGAGTAAGAGAAGTTTGGAGCCAAAAAAGCATCTGCTTCATCGAGCCTCTAGTTCAAACGGTTTATTTTGTGTCCTGTTTTTATTGTTTATCTTGTTTATAGTTTCATTTTCTCAACATTTGACTACAACAAATTACTGCTACTACTGCTAATTACTAGAAAACAAGAAGCCATTATTCAAACAAATGAGAAAGATGAAGCTCGAGGTTGAAGAGAGAAGAAGAGGAGGAGGAGGAGCAGGAGGCGGAGAAGGAAGAGGAGGAGGAAGAGGAGGAGGAAGAGGAGGAGGAAGGGCAGAATAGGAGGGGGAAGAGGAGGAGGAGGGGGAGGAGACTCGAGGTAAAAAACGAAAAACTTTAGCTCAACAAAAAGCCAGTGCCTTCTTTTTGTCAGGACACAACATATTTAGCTAAACATGGACATTGGTGTAAACAGATCAATCATTCTCCCAAAAAAGTCATATTTAACAATTGATGTTGGTCTCACAAAACTGCTGTTGAAAATACTTATTTTGCTAAAGTCAGAGATTATATACTTAATTCTTGCTTCTGCGTTTTGCTAAAGTTTGAGAGTTTAGATTAGCTTCCTTATTATGCAAAAACTACAGATTTTGTACTTGCTTCTTTTTCTATGTAAGTAAGTAGGTGATGTTTATCTATATAGCGCATTTCACAGACCAATTCAGAGTTTGTTCCAGTCACTCCACACCCGGTGATGAAGTTAGAGATTTTGTTTTATTTTGGTTAATTCATCTTGTGTTGTGTGCTCTTCTGTTCTTTAACCACAAATACAGAAATGATCAACCTAAATTTAGGACTACAGTAAAATCTATCTCAGTGCGATTTGGAATGATGTAGATGAAGGAATTGAAGACATGTGGACATTTATTTATATTTTAAAAAACTGTTTAAAAAATATATACTTAAGAAATATGTGGAGGAAGGAGAGTGATGCCCTGAGCCCGGAGCGAGGGAGGAGAGAGGGGAGGGGTCAGTGTGTGTTTTGGGTCTGGTCTGTGTGAATGAGTTGTGTGTATCTTGGTCTTGTCTGTCTATTGCCATTGGTGTTTGTTATGTGTTTTGTTGGACGGTATTATAGGGTTATGATTTTTCTTCTTCTTATTGTACATGTGTCTCAATGGATGGGAGGGGATTGCATTAATATAAGCTTTTTTGCTTCAACCAATCCCTTCTCAAACCATGCACACGTTTTCTTTTTCTCCTATTATCATATTTTCTTGTGAATAATTGTGTGTATCTCGTGCATG